TACTTTGCTAGTAAAGTACCAGCTAGTTTAAGGTTTGATTATCCTCGTGACATTGCTATTGACAGTCAAGGATTAGTATGCATTACTGATTATAGTAATCATCGCATTCAAAAGTTCTCTCCAGATGGAAAGCTTGTGGTTCAATTTGGTACTAAAGGATCTGGTCCTGGATAGCTTAAGCGTCCCTTTGGCATAACAATAGACACTGCAGGTACTGGTCTAGTGTATGTTAGTGAAGAGGGCAATCATCGTATATCAGTCTTCACTAGTGATGGTGTGTTCGTGAGCAGTTTTGGAAGTAAAGGCCGTAATATTAATCAGTTTAATATACCAATAGGATTAGCATTTGATAAAGATGGATTATTGTATGTTTGTGATTATAATAACAACCGAGTTGTTGTTTATTAGTTTTTATTTCTTTTATTATTGTTAATGATCATTATTTAGTTTTAATTACACTAAAACTTTCCCACCACTGCACATGTAGCAATCAATAACCAAGCCATCATGCTGTGGGATAGATGTACAGTGGTGAATGCATGGGAAAAATTTACCATTAATTGCTTTGTATTCTCTAAGAGAATTGAAAAAAGCAAAGAACAAATTGCAGTATAATCAGTATAGAATTATGCAATGAGTATTTCTGTGTGAGTCAGTGCTTGCATTTTAAAGGAAAATTGGAGAAATCACTATTGACCCATTCAGCCCTGTATAGATTTATGCCACAGCATGACAGATCATTGATGATATTCATTGGCAAACAGCCATAAATAAATGGACTGTAAGTATTTATTTAGAATGGATGCACATAATATTGTAGCAAGACACACTTTTATTATGCATGTACTATAGTAAACAAATACTAACAATTAATTTTAATCTGTGTTTGTGTAATAGAAAAGCCAGGATTCATTATGCATCCTTTAGTCACAAGATCTTTGAATATATTTAAGGTACACCCACTTTTTGTGTCTAGTTGATCTTCTTTAGTCTTTCTCTCCTCCTTTCACCTTCTTCATTTGTTTTTTTTTGCTGCATCTCATTCATCCCGACTTCTTCATTTTCTTATTGCTTGTTCTTGCTCTATCTTCATTTACCGCCTTCTACCTTTATCTCTCTTCATTTTTGTCTTTGCTTTACATACACAATTAAATGGCAACCAAACCATCTTCATCTTCTTCTCCTGGTCTCCTCAAACTGGAGGAACAGCTCACCTGTCCTGTGTGTCTTGACCACTATACCAACCCTAAGATCCTACCATGCCATCACTCATTCTGTGAGCACTGTCTGGAGGGATTACCTCTGGATAAGAAAAATGAGACCTATTACCTCTCTTGTCCCACTTGTCGTCATTGTACAGAGTTACCAGAAAAAGGAGCAGGAGCCTTTCCTGTAGCATTCACTCTAAACAACCTCAAAGAGATGCAAAGTTCGCTAAACAAGACAGCTGCTTTGCCTAATCCTCAAGAGGCCACATGTAGTGATCATGGAAAGCCTTTGGAGCTATTCTGTGAAACATGTGATACAGTAATCTGTTCCCACTGCTTAGTTCATAATCACAAAAATCATCGATATGAATTAGTTACTGACAGTTATA